GATTTTGGACTTGCTTCTGGGGGGAGTGGGGGGGGGGTGGGGGGGGATGATGACGACAGTGTTGCTCAAACACAACCAACAACATCACCACAAGAGCCGTTTTACTCGGTATTTACAGTACTTTCGTGATGTCGCACTTTCTTATGTAGTTGCCACCCCTACTTCTGGACTGCGCGTCTTGAACTTTGAGTCTGGAACGGCGTGCCGCGACAACTCGAAATTGGTTGGGGGAACCGTTTTCCTCGGTATTTACAGTACCTGTGCACACGACCCCGTTTTTACTCGGTATTTACAGTACTTTTGGTGATGTTGGTGATGAAAGCTGATGAAATGGGTTTGATTGTTCGTGATGTTGGTGGTGAAACGTGTTTGCTTTTTGGTAATGTTGGTGATGAAATGTGTTTGCATTTTCGTTAGCACACAACCAAGCTTTTACTCGGTATTTACAGTACTTTGTGGCTAGTAGTAGTAGTAGTAGTAGTAGTAGTAGTAGTAGTAGTAGTACTGGTAGTGGTAACGGGAAGTGGTAGTGGTAGTGGTAGCAAAGGTAGTAGTGGTAGTAGTGGTAGTAGTGGTAGCAGTGGTAGTAGTGGTAGTAGTGGTAGTAATGGTAGTAGTGGTAGTGGTGGTAGTAGTGGTAGTAGTGGTAGTAGTTTGTGTAGAAGTGGTAGTAGTAGTTTTTGTTTTGGTTGTGGGTTGTAGTTGTTTTTTGTCGCTGCTGTAGCTGCTACTGCAGCTGCTGCTGCTGTTGATGTTGTTGTGGCAAGTAGCGGAAGTGCCGTGGTAACCACGACCAATATGACTGCTTTTCACTCCCTGGGCCTCGTGGCAGTTCGGACTCCTGAAGCCGACCCTTCACCTGAACAGCGCTGGGCTCGCAAGCTCAAGGAAAGGACCTCCGCAAGATGGACCGAGGGTAACACTTCCTTGAAGAGCTCCATCAGGGCATCTTGGATTTCGGGTACCTTCTCCAAAGTGAAGGTCGGTACTTCTCTCTTGCACGAAGTCTTGCACTCAGCATGACACTTGCCCTTCGCATTTGTCGCCTGAGTCACCGCAAACTCTTGCCTGCCTCCTTGGTCGAGGCTGAGTGTGAGACGATTCTGGATCCGGTTTTGGACTTGTCGTCTCATGCAAATTCTTTGGCAGCGCGATGCTGTACACTGCGCTGCATGCTAGCTAACGTAAAGGGTCCTTCGAGGTTTCCGAAAGGCCACTAAACTCATCTACTAGGAAAGGTTGTCGCCAAGCAGCTGGCCCACTCGGGAAGAGCAACTTTAATCGCTTCGTAACTCTCGGGACAGCTGCACAGCTGCGCCGCTACTTTTCGGCTCATTGCTTCTGCGAACTGGCTGTCGTAGCCTGGCGCTACGGCACGCCCTGGAGGAAGATCACCTTGGCACCGCGCTTCTCAGGCTTCTGAGAAGCCATCCCACGTCTGCGAGCAGCGGTTCTCTAAGATCCCAATGCATGTACAGTACAGTACCACCTGTGTCTGCCGGGTGGCCCAAGGGGTGGAGACCCGGCCAGCGCTGACCAGGAGGCGTCCACCCTGCGCTTTATCGCCCGTGAAAGACACGGGAATCGGGACCTGAACGAAGCACAGGCGATGGAGATGAGCAAACACATTTGGACAGCCGCCGCATGGTGGCCGAGGCAAAGGCCGTCTTTTTTGAATCCAGCTTTACGGCGCGCTGTGTTAGCTGGAAGCTCGGGTTGTCCACCTGTCGAGCCGTTTTAGACCTTTGCTGCCTCCACTGCCTGCAGCCTTTCGGGCTCAATCAAGGGGCCTGGAGCGAAAACTCCACCGGCTCAGCGAAGGGATTCTGAAACTCCACGTTGGTCGGTTTGCCCTCACGAGAATCAATCACGTCAGCATCGAAAAGACGAGAAGGAGAGATGCCCAGAGTCTGCCCTGCCTTGGGGACATCGACAGGTCCCTGTGGCTGCGGGGGCTGCGCGTAGCCCATCAGCAAGGCCTCCCAATCTTCGAGCTGCAAGTTAGCAGCAGAATGCCTTCACCAACTTGCCGAGAGGCCTTGTACTCACCACCGTCTGGGGAAGTGAGAACCAGAAGCCCTCGAATCTCGCCAAGCTCGGAAGGTGTGAATCGGACCTCGATGACCAGCAGTCAAACTCCCCCTCGGCTTCTGCAAGCCCAGCGGTAAAATGCTCTGGGAAGCGGCATTGATGGAGGCCTCCTGGCCCTCCGCTCCCGCAGCATCCACCTTGACTTCCTGGAAGAAAGGCAAGGCTCGCGAGATTGGCACCGGCACCGGAACTTCAGGGGCCGAGTCCTTGATCTCTGGTGCAAAATCGGAGCTCACTGACTTTTGGCCTCGAATTCCCAGAGCTGGAAGCAAGATGCAGCCCTCAAGAGCCAGAGCCAGGGCAGCCCACCTGGCGCTGCCTCGATGGTTGCACTGAAAGTTGTTGCCTTCTGCGCATAGTGCCAGAACCTGAGGTACAGAAGCGGGACTTTCCTTCCTGGCCATTCTTCGCACCTTACAGTAGCCAGGCAGCCGGAAGGGCTGTATCGAGTCCATCGATCCCAAGGGTGCCTTAAACACGATCGTCTTGTCCAGGCCTCTCAGGAGGTTGTTCTAATGCGCATCAGAGCTGCAAGAACTCAGCTTTAAGCGTTGCTCCGAGCCCATGAACGCGGACATCACTGAATGTCAATTAATTGTCCGAGAACCCTGAACAGAGCTGACTTGTCAGATGACGGAGGTGCCGAGGCCTGCGGCTTTGGCCACGTACTCCACTGTGTACCTCGGCACCGACATGTTCTTGAAGCCAATCTCCCGACTGCTGTCGGGATGCTTACATCGCAGAGCCTGGGCTCATTTCACCGTGACTGAACTCTGGCAAGGCAAGGGGTCATCTCCCGATCTGCCCCAGAACCATGTAGTTCCTTCTATGTCATCCTGCGCTGCCTTTCCTCTACGGATACCAGTGCCCCTCCTCAGAGTCGCAGCCACGGGACGGGAAGTCACCAAGCTCAGGAGAACCTTTGTGCACTTCGGGAGTCGAAGCGACGCCGGGGCTTCAAGCGGAAAGGGCCATGGGCTAAGAGAGGTGCTCGAGACGTGAGCTCCACGGCCTAAGCCTAAGCTACAGAAAGCCGGGTGGCTCAGCGAAAGCTTGGCCTCACCAGATCCCACGATCACTGGCCGGAAGAGGACGTCCACCGTGGCCTCTGAGTTGGGCGCCACCTCCAGTCGGCAAAACAGAAGGAGCTCTCCTTCCCTTCGTTGTGCTTGGACCTCGCCGCTCTAGTAGCCGAGGTGCGGAGAACTCGTTCTGCGAGAATCGGAAATCCTGGTGTGTGGCCTGGCACTTGAACTTCGCCACGGAAGATAGTGGGTTCATGACCTTTCAGGGCATCATCCGACAGCCCTCTTCAAGCCTTGTCCTTGCAGCCCGACCGATATGGATCGCGTAGCCACTTGACGGCAAACAGTGTTGAAGCGAAGAGTGTCGATGGATTTCGGCGCCACAAACTTGAAGCTGATCTCATAACCAACAAACTCGTCCTTGTCAAGCTACTCATGTCTTGGCAAGGGGGAAGGCGATACAGGTCTCCACAACTCCAAGACATGCCTGTGACTGTCTGCCGCGAAGATTCGGTCTTCGGATTGGTGAAAACAATCCGTGCAACGGCGGCGCCTTCTCTGTAAGCGTAAACATTGAACTTGTAGTCCTTTGCTTGTCCTGCCGGTACCTCGTAGAATTCAGCACAAAGCCCTGGCCCTAACCCCAAACCCTGATGCAAGACGCAAGCAATCAGCCGACAGATTGAGGAGCTGGCATCGAAGGTGCCGATGCCATTCAGCTTGATCTCCTGTCCGAACAAGGAACGCTGCCATTCAAACTGTTGTTGCTGTCATGCTGCGCCTTGGTAGGTTTACGAGAATCTGAGAAAGCGTTCGGATACTTACTACGAGTACGAGTGGTTTAAGTCGCTTAGCTGGCGTAAAGTCGCCCCAAGCCCTGCAGCACACGGCATGGGAGTGAAGTCACCCGAGGCGGGGTGATGTCACCCCGACAACAGTTAAGCTTTAGCCATTCCACAGTGGCATTCGCATTTTTGGAGTGTTCGCGGCTTGCACTTAAAATGCCGCGTGCCATGCGCACATTGCGTTGAGAAGCCTGATTGCTGCAAGAGTACACATGATTAGATGCGACAACCCCAAGGTGTCGATGCTGAGTGTACTCTCCAAGTCGCTCCCGCTCTCCAACCCTACCCCTACCAACCGGTTGACAAAACCTGATACCCGGCACACTTCTCGACCGGTGACAAAACCAGCCCATCTCGATGTAGACATTCGTTTTCACAAGCTCAAAGGCAAGACAGTGCGAATGTGTGCGCACATGTGGAGGTGAAGGTAGGTGTGCGTCTGCAAACAAGGTGACCGAGACTGCTTCGGATAGCAAGAGTTTATAAACAGGAGGACCTCGAAAGCCTTGTGCCCAACAGGCTGTGGGGATTGCGCACTTGGCAAATGTGGCGTTTGGATTTCTGTTCGGCTGGTGGGCCTGCATACGTTCGGCTCCATGGACCAAAACAGCAACATCCAAGTAGACACCTATTCCACAAGCAACCGTAGACGCTCAATTACGCAAGCAGAAGCTCGAGACACAAGTGACATCATAACATATCCAAGCTCAAGGAAAGACCGCGCACAGTACTGGATCGCGCAGAAAGTAGACACTGGACGGGAAACAACATATGATAGAGTATTGAAAACTAGCCCAAACCCTGCGGCACATGGGATTGGGACGACTTCGCCCCGGCAGGGACGACTGAAACCTACCGCCTGTACCTTCTTTCTTCTATGCACTTGGGACCGGAGTCATGCTTCTGCGGCCACCACCCCTGTTGCTTAGATTGGACTTCCTTGTCAGACCCTCTAAGGTTCGGATTACTGTCGCTGACAGTCTGAAAACTCCACCACCAAAGAACACAAGTGCAGCCTCCGTCGCTTCGGCTGGGTGCACCAGGTTTATCGCCACATGGAAGCGCTGGTTCTGCTGAAGCCAGTTGGTCAGTGGAATGCTCCTTTGCTGCTGACTCTCGGGCCCTCGTAGGTCGTAGCTGCACATCCGGAAAAGCCAGCTCAACCTGTCAGTCTCACCAGTCCACCTGCAACTGAGCCTCTGGACATGTGGCGTCTTGCACTGCACTTCCGCAGTCAGCTTCTTGTCTTGGCCCGGAGGGTTCGAAACGCCTGCGGTGCAACGCCATCTGCTGATGCTAGGCTACATCAGGCTATCACAAGACGCGGACAGCGCCATCTCTACGCACTGCCGCTCTCATGGGCGACGTCTGCCTTCCAGCGTCCACACGAAGGCGCTTCCGTCCGGCGTCGAAGCAAAGAGCCGGCCAAGGTGCTTCCTGGCGAGTGAACCCGCACATGTCATCCTTGGCCGCTTCCAGAACTTGTGGCCAAGCTTCGGTGGGACGGGATCCTTCTTCTTGCCCTTTGCTGGCGACGTATCTTCATCCGCCTGGGAGTCCATTCCTCTTGCCAGAAGGAGGGAAGATCAACACCTGCCTCTGTGGCCGTGCGCGTCATGGTGAGGGGCCTGTAGGTGATGGGGATGGTCGCCTGCCCTCCGGCCGGCACTGTGATCCTGAGCCACGCAGAGCTGTGGACAGCGCGTGCTTGCTCTACCAAAAAGCCAGCCGCTCGTATCCGAGGCACTCTCCGGGACAGGAGAAGAACGTCTCACCCGCAGGAATCTCCGTGTTGATCACTGGCCGGACCTTGAACAGAGTTTCATGCTTACTTGCCCTCCCTCCAACCTGCTCAAGTTTCTCCAACTCCCGCCTTCCATGGCTCTGAGCTCGTGTTCTTCCCGCTAGGTGGGAAAGTGACCCTCGGCAACAAACGACCATGTCAGCGAAGCTGTGAGAATGCGCTCCCGAGACTCCAGGGCGGGGTGTGTCTGCTTCTGCTGAGGCACTCTTGAGTTTTCCTCTCTCGCCTCGGTCTCATTGCATTCGCATCTCCCGCAGAAGAGACAAGAAAGTGCGATCTCTTGGAAGCACAGGCACACTTCGGCCGAGAACTGCAGTTGCAGCGCGGAGTCTTCGGGCTGTTCCATGCCATTTCCCTGGACGATGAGCTCGATTGGCTCCTGCAAGACACTGCACAGGCTCCTTTCCGGGCATCACGAAGCCGAAGCATGTCGACGCGAAAAGGTTTCACTGCCTGCTGGTATGGTGGATCCAGGAGGCAGCGCAGCCGCTTTGGCTGGGAATCCGATCCACCGGACCTTCATTTCTGACCCTTCCAACTGCTCTTGTTGCTACGAGCGGAAGGAAGAGGCCTCTGCGGGTGGAACTTCACCTGCAGAGAGACATCGTCTCTGGGAGCCGCATAGCCCTCGGAGCGAGATCGCGATAAAAAAGGCAGACGAAAACGCGCAGGGCATCGCAGGCCTCTGAAGGCTCCACCGAGAAGATGTTCAGCAACTTCGTGGGCACGTCGAAGCGGAACTTCACGCCCAAGTCTCCGAAGTTGTGGAGATGAACGCGCTTGGTACTTGTGGCACCGAAGACGACGTCACCAAAGAGGAGGGAATGCCTGTCGGCTGAAGCGGATTGAAGCGGGCAAGAAGGATTGGCAGGTTGCAGGTTGCGTCTGCTCTTGAAGATGGCGGCCGAGCCACTCAGATAAGCGCACTTCGGCAGCATGGCAGCTGCCAGTGACGTGACAAATCTGCATGTCGATGCCGAAGTTGCCTCAGAAACACATGTCTTTTCAGCGAGCCTGGCCTGGCCATCCCTAGCCCTGGCCCTGGCCCTAGCTGCTTCCAAGCTGCAGCTGGCTACCAGCGGCAGCTTGAAGACCGGCATTGGGAATGAGGGCTTGTAGCGCAGCTCGAAAGATGTCTGCTCTTTCGGCCTGGAAAAATGGAGCGGGAAACGACCAGCGATTGCTTCAAGCGTACATGCCTGCAGGCCCAACCTCAGCTTCACCGGCATTGTCGGGGACCAGGAGACGCACTTCTCAGCCAGCTTGCCATCAGCATCTTGAAGGGCGAACTCCACAGGTCGCACCGACCGATTCACCACTCGCAAGCTGCGGCTGACACCTCTCCAGGAAATCGGACCACAGAGATTTCGGAGCTTTGACTTCAAGTTTAGAATCTTTAGAATTTAGAATTAGAAATCATGCCATGTTGGAGCCAACGCTCGCTATTGCGTGCGCTGCGGGTTCATGGCTTTCGGGCCGGGACCATCCTATCCGAAGGGCTGAAGCGGCACCTGTATTGCCAACAGCCACACCGAAGTCCACGTTCTGCATGGCCAGCGAAGCAGCTTCTAGCTGGAGGGGACAACCCTGACCTGAATCACAACGCAAACACCCGACATGCCTGCAAGCCTGGGTGCAAGGGCCTCGAAGGTTTACGTAGTACTTGGTGCAGTCGTTCACGACGAACTCAATACCTGCACAAGAAGGACTTCGGTTGTGATGGCCGACAAGGTGGCGGCGAAAGCAGAATGCCGTTTACCTTTACACAGTCAAGCTGCACTCTCGATAGTCGACGTAGTCCTTCGGAGTAAAGATAATTGGCACCACGAGGGACCTTGCTTCATTGCCGCCAGGTTGAAACTGAACGTCCCGAGACTGTGTCGTGCATCACTGCTTCTTGACTTCAGGTCCAGTCAACTCAGCTCCACTCGACCCAGCTTCCACCATGGATGCCGGCAGCTGCACGTCCAGGTAGCTCGTTCGCTGGAAGGTCGTGGAGAGCCAACAGTCCGTCATGCCTGGAAACACTCGAACAGCTCACCCCAAGGCATGCAAAGATGGTGCTGCTTGCTGACTGATGTCGAGGTCCTGCTGTCTTCACCCTCAACCGGATTTTATGGATGAACACCCCAACAAATCGAAACATCCACAATATAGATCGAAATGGAATCCAACTTCCTCAACAATGTGCGCCTCGATTGGTGACGGTGAGGTCCAACCGCTCTAGAGGCGTTTTCCCTTGGGAGGGCTCGCCGGCGCTGGCCGCGGTTCCTCATTTGGGCTGAGGCTTTCAGATGCTCATGACGGGACATGTAAGGACACGGAGAGAAGGTTGTCGACAGGCTGCGCTTGACGAAGCAGGGCCCGAAGTCGTGGCTCTGCGTGGAGAAATCCAGCATCGGCCTTCTGTCGTCAACTTGCTGCGGTGATCTTGAAACTTCGATCTGTCGGAAGGCGGAAGGCCTGTAGGCACGGCCGGCCAGGCCCAGGGTGTAGCTGGCATCGTCAGGGCCTGCCGTCACTCTGCTGTGGAAGCCTTTTCAACTCTGGCATCCCGGCCTGATGGGATCAGCATTCGCAGGGAGGCCCCATCCAACTTGTGTGCATCGGTGGGCGAGTACTCGATGGTGATGACCTTAGCACCACAACAAAAAGGAGAGAGAGAGAGACAGCGAGCTGTCACTCGAGGGCCCAAGCGGTCTCGCCATCTTGTGTCGCCACCCCGTGCACAGGCGTAATCGTCAGGTAGGGTGGCACCTCGGCCTGTGGGGTCATCAGCCGGCCAGTCGCGCTGCGCAGTTGCCAAATGAAGTCGTAGCCTCACATTGATCCCAGCAGCTCAGCAGTCGGGTCTAGCCGCACTCAGGCCTAAAGTTCGAAACCAAGCAACTCACGGCAACCTGCTCATCTGCTGCTTCTGCCGCTGCCGCGTGATCTCGCTCGAAGGTCGGGCTGCTGAGCTTCAAAGTGAAGCTTTGCCTCTCCTGCACCTGCGAAATCAGGGCGGCGTGGCAGCTACCAAGGCTGCACCAGCAGTCCGCTCCGAGGCCTGCATATCCCCAAAGTCCAGAAGCTCCTCAGTCAGAAGGACGCGTGATCAAGAGGAGCTCCAGATGCCCAACAACAGGCAGAGTGTCACAACAACGCGCGTCACGGGAGAGGTCACTTGCCGCCAGGCTTCCTTGACGCCAGGGTGTAGAACTCTGCCTTCTCGATCTGCTTCCTCTAGAACGAGCTTCGTGTGGATTTTGTAGCCTCCGGGACCAGGCTACAAACCAAGGCCAGACTATGCCAGGCTTGCCAAGGCCTCGCCTTCTCCTTTGATGTTCAGGAGGAGGGGCTTCTCCTTGCGCTTGATGTTGCACACAACCTCGGCACAAGTCGGCAGCCGCGCAGACCTGTGATACCGAGCGGCCGGCAGCCAAGCCACATTGTAATTGAAGAAGCGTTCCTCGTTCGGAGAGAACTTCACTTCGATCGGGAAGGATGCACCTGAGACGCTCTGGACCCTGTGCCTGCAAGCAGTGGAAAAAGCTAAGAGCCCACGACCTGCAAAAACCCACTTGACAATCTTAAATTGCTGCGATTGGAGCCGGGGCCAACCACGCCAGAGTCCGGGGACAGGGAGATAGCCGCCGGCCCGTCCGCTTCGTAGCTCTTGTGGTCGAACGCAAAGCTGAAGGGCAGATGCTCCTAGCAGCTCAAGGAATCAAGGGAACCTAGAACCCAGAGCGGCGGGCGACCTGCTCTGGATTCTGGCCTTGTTGACGATGCAGACCTTCTCTATCGCTTTGCCACCAAGCAGAAGACGGTTGAACTTGATGCAAGGGCGATCCAATCCTGAGCCCGTGTTGAGGGAATCGCGACGAATGCCGGACTTATGGGCTTTTGCTTCAGCTTGGAGGCCGCCTCTCAACTTGTGCAGAAGTCTTGCGATGGGGAACGCCGTGATGGGGCTGGGGGTGGTTCGCCCACGCGCCGAGCGGCCCATCCGAGGTTCCTTCACCGTTCCCACCAGCACGAAAGCTTGGGAGGCCTGCTTGCCGGGCACTGAGAAGAGCCACCGCGACTCGTGGATCTCCGTGTCCTCACGAAACCCAAAGCAACGGGCGCCTCTTTGCCGGGCATCAACTTGCATCCGGGCAGCGGCTGGCAAGTACTCGAAAAGCATCTCGTACTTCTTACCGGGGAGGATGGTGCCCCGCCTCGTGCGCTGAGGAGGGATCGTGGGGGATCACCCTGAAGGTTGTGCTGAGGACATGGCTTCGTGAGGCAACGGAAGGGGTCCTCAGTCTCCCTTTTGTCAGACTCTTCGGGCATCCAGTGGAACTCGTAGGTGTCGGAGGTGGGGTTCAGGACCTTATTACCAGCACTCGGTGCAGCAAAGCCCGGTACCCTGTACCAGTAGCTGTTCCAGCCAAGGAGCATAAAACCGCTTGGTGTTCCGCACACGCGTGCCCAGCGACTCGAACTCAATGACCTGCAGACAATGCGAGGACAACCTCTGAGTCTTGCTGCCGCCATGATCCGATTCACCGAAGCCTGGTACTTCGGATCCAGAGGCGTCTCCGCTTGCCGTCGTGATCTGTAGTCGCTGATGGGGACCTGGACTCCAGCATACCCCATCAAGATGTCTGCTGCTTCCAATGCTTTACACCATCGACTGCCGCCCCACGATTGCCCTACTAGAGAGATCGAAGGAGACCATGTTGCCTCACAGTTAATGTGACTAGACATGCGGAAGCAAACTGAGACCTAAATCGGCCCAGAACGTACAGGGAAGAGCCACAGCAATGCTCCTTTTCAGATCACTCCGATCGCTTTGGCCTCGAAGTGGCACCAGGGTCGCAGAGCAGAAGCTTGCAAGCGGATGCGAAGCGGATCCTCCAGAAACGCCCAAAGACTTGCTGGCGGCAGAGCCTAGTGATGTACCTTCTGCTCCGGCTGCCCATCGGCTGAGAACTATTGAATTGCGCAGCTCTTGGGTGCTTGCCCTGGCTACTTCGACAGCAGAGATAGACGGATGGAGTGAGCGTGCGAGCCAAGGCAGACCCATAGCAGTCATCTCGCTCCTCGATCGGCATCCGACTTTCCTGAGCATTGAATTGGGCGATAAACCAAAAGCCTACCTACTAAGTCACTGAGTGTTCCGACTGCCCGCAAGTGTTTGCATCCAGCTGGCCAGAATCCCGGCGAAGTCGTGCACCTCCTTCGGCGCAAACCGAATCTGGAACTCCTGGGTGCTGCCCGCTGCAATCGTACCTTCATCGGTCCAATTTGAAACAACATCCAAACATCTTGATATCTTTGCTTCCACATGGTGCCTCGAACGGGCGTGATGGCATAGGCTTGCGACCCAGCCGAGACGTCTGCCTTTGAGCATTCGGCAGCGACGCCACTGCTTTTTGGCAGCATCTTGTGCTCTAGGCTATTATTGTGCATTAAACAGACTGCACAAAAGATTTGCTCTGCAGGATCTTCTTGACTGTTTCTCGCGAGAACAAATGCTTCATATTCCACCCCTCGTCTCCAGACGCATGACGAGCCCAGCCAAGCAACACCACTCGCTGGAAGGATTCGCCAGTTGTAGGGAAGCGCAATCTTCGAAGGGTTTGCTACCTGCAGCGGTTCAGAACCCGCCATGTACCCAACTTCCCTTGCCTTTCTCCTCGCCTAGAATGTAATTGCCAAACCTTGCCAAACCACCTTGTCATGACAGGAGAGCCCAAACATTTGCGTGTAATTAGACCCTGTTGTGGCCCAGGCCTCCTGCCGCGCACCCTAAACTTCTAAAGCTTAACCTGAGCATGCCTGCAGCCTGCAGCCCCGGGGCCGTGAAGCGATGCAGCCGGGTCTGGAACAGGACGGTCGGGCTGAAGTGGATCCGCTCCGTCCCGCACTCGAAAGCCATCTGGTCCGCCGCCGCCAGGATCCTCATCCACGGGCTCTTTCCCTCTAGGACTGAGCTGACAATGATGAAGAGCCCACACTGTACCAAAACCCCTACATGAACATCTCCCAGAAACGCATGCATATGTGACATATGTGTAGTGTATGTACACCTGCAGGTCTGCTGTCTCCCTGGCTGGCTGTCTGTCTGTCCGTTTGCAGCTGTGCGCATGTGTGTGTGTGTGTGTGTGGGTGTGAGACCGTATTGTGTATATGTAAGCAAGCATCTGGAAAAGTGCTGTCATCGAAACGAAACTCGGACCCGGGACCCTGTTGCGCTTCTGAAAGCCGGATCAGACCTCAGGCTGCCTCGCCTCAGCGGCATTTCGCGAGCTGTGCCTTCCGCAACCGCGTGTGCAGGCTCGGAGACCTTGCCAGGCCAGCTACATCAAGAGACACCGGCTGCTAAAGGTGACAATGCATCAGGCTCTTTCGAGAGTCTAATTGTGGTCCTATTCTCTCATACTGTCTCTTCCATACTGGCAGATGGGTGGATGAAACCATGGAAAAACTGACAAGCGCACCGGGGCAGGCTCCTCCCCCTCCACGTCCTCCATGCGAGTGTCATCCCAGTCCTGATGCGCCGAGTTCTTGGGACTTCTTTGCCTCACGCCTGACTGGGACGAACCTACGATGCAGGCTCTATACTGGCTGACAATCCAAGCAAGCTCGATCCACGTGTCGGCGAGCTATTTGTTCCGGCACACTCACTGTAGCGGCGGGCCTTTGTTCATAAACATACGCGAGACCCGAACATGTACCCTGCGGGTGTTCCCCCTGAACTTAGGGCCGAAGATAGAAAGGATGCAATCGGGTGGTGGAAGACATGCTCGGGTCCTGGACATCGCCATCCTGAGTGATGCCAGCCTCACAGGGTCATGGAAAGACATACTCGCAACGCTGCATGGTTACATGCATCTGCTGACCAGGCTCACGATAGATGCATCGGCCAAGCCACGACTTGGACCGGCAGGGGCACGTCTGCCTGCATGCTCTCGGTGGGGCGGTACGTAAAGCTGATCCTTGGAGTGGGCCATGTTCGAGACGGAGGTTGCTTTCGGTGCTGTTGCAATCAGGGAGCGACTTCTTCATGCCAGGCAGTATGTGCCCCACAGATGGAGTTATCCTCGCTTAGTGGAGGTTTCAAGTTCTTTGCCATGGAAATGAATTCGGGACAGGAATCTTTCTTGGACTGGCATCAGGCAAGCTGCTGCAGACAGTCTGACAGCGGTGCCGGCAGGGTCTCAGGAAACTGAAAGCGCAGAACGTTTTTTCCGGAGTTGTTCAGCTGGAAGTTCACGACCTGTCGGCAAGCCACTGAAATGGAGATTCTTGAAACCACCGGCATTTTGCTCGAACCGTGCTCTCGGCCTTCTCGCTGCCAACGCCTAGGCGAGCGAAGCATGGGCGGCCGCAGGAAGAGATCTCGTTAATGCTGGAATGTCTTCTGAATTCAGTCCAGATGCAGGTCTCGCCCATTCGGAGCACGTCCGAGTCATCCTGCCCCGTGCCCTCTGGTGAGCTGTCGCCGGGAGGGAGTTCCCAGGATACATCCTCCACGTAGCCCTGGCCCACGAAGGTGAGTTTCATGTCCTGATTGGAGGCAAAGTTGCGGGGAGCTTCAACCTTTGAATTCTGGTCGCACGTTGTCCTCGAAAGAATTGTGCAGGGTGTGAAGCTTGAGAAAGGTGCTGTGGCTTCCCGACCTTCGTCTGTCGAGGTCTGGGCGACGACTGTCGCCTACTCAGCTACTCCGAACAGCACTGGCTGCCTCATCATGCATTATCTGCGGCCAAGCAACTCTGTCGGGCAGAAGGCGACTTGGAATTTCTGCGTGGCCTCCGCGCAGCCATGGCAACAACTGCATCTCGCATGCAGGCACATCGTCCCTTGCAGGCCTTGGGCTCCAAAGGAATGCTCCGGGCACAACTCACCGTGAAGTGAGGATTCGGCGTAAGATCCTTGGAGCGGCTACGACAGGGCATCTCTGGACATGGGAGCTGGAGCCAAGGTCACATAGAACCCCAACCCAGGGCCCGGAAAAATGAAACTCAGAAACCCCGAGATCAGCGTCAACCTGCAAGCAGCACCCAGTCAAGTCTCACATCGCGCGGTCGCTGGGATCACACCCTGGTTGGCCAGAGTGAATTCCACCACTTGCGTCTTTCCCAGCCGAAGCTTACCGAAGTCATACCTAGGGAATCAAACACACACTCCTGAAGCTCGGTTGCATGCATTGAGCAATGGTGAGAATGACACGGATATGATATGATATCACTGTTATTGACAGCTCCGCGAACCCGACGAAATCAAGGAGCTGCCCACCATCGTCCCCGAAGAGCGTAGGGCCCGTCATGGAAATGCTGGGAACGGTGCCGTCTCCTCGCATCCTGAGCTTGCAGCTTCAGGAAATGGGATCGCTAGAAGAACAGTGAAAGTCGCTCCAGGTAAGAAAACTGGTCGGGAATGCATTTCTGGTGCCTGTATTGCAAAAACTCAGGCAAGCTGCTCAAATTTCAGGTGGTTCGTCTTCGAGTCCTCCGGGTCACACAGGCAGGTATCGCCATCCGCGTAGCTGGATCAAGATGCATAGGAATGACGAGAGCACAGGTTGGTACAAAAGACTCACAGGTTTAGAGGGAAGCCCTGCCCTCCAACTCCCCCCATGTGACAAAGGTTACAACTTGCTGCGTCCTTCCCTTCTGGGACTGTCGCCTCGAAGATTGCGGAATAGCGCTGGAGGCCCTGCGATGCCCAGAGATTGCGCAGCAAACATGAAAAGGTCTGCGAGGCTCGAGCTCAGGCTTGAGTGGATAAAACCCAAGTTTCTGTTCAGATTTGCGGAGACATGCTGCCGGAGTCACACTCCTGCCTGAGGCGTGAAGCGCACCTTCACATAACGATACTCGTGTGGTGGGATGTGCAACTCCTGCAAGGCAACAGTTCCTCCAACACTTCGGCAAGGCTAAAGTGCTGCACCCAAGTCCTGGTTCGAGAGCTCGAAAGGAAGCACGGGTACTTCTTTACCAGTTGGAGCTATGGTTGGCTTGATGTCAAACCTTAGCACAGTTCGGGCATCAGCTCATTTTAAGTCACCCTTGCTGAGCGAAGTCTCTCTCACCATACAACCGGCCAATGCATCTGGAACGCTTGACATCACACGGGATGGGGTTCCTCAGCTTCTCGACACTGCGGAACATCTCCAAAGTAAAGCGGAGGTCCCAAAAAAAAGCTGCCATCACCATGATCATCAACATCAGCGGTCATCATGATCCATCTGTTCCAGGCATGAGGGCCAAGGGGCGGATTTGTGATCCGGAACTTGGCTGGCTCTTGCCGGTCAGATGGCCCTGTGTGAAAGTCAAGGCTTTTGACCTTCGGGCCTCCTTGTGCTCGGCTGCTAGGCCTCCCCGCTAGGCGCGCCTTGCAGTGAGACGGGGCCGAAGGAGAAGTAGCGGGCCTCCTCATCGAAGGCGCGGATGTCCACGCGTCCCGCAGTCGCCTTTGCTGGTTGCAGCTTCGAGCGATTCGAGTACGAGAATCTGGCGCAGAGATGCCACCAAGGCACGATGGCATCTTCCAGCGTGGGTGCTACGAACTGCTCCTCGAACATGGACTGCATGTTCTCCGTGTCGATGCCTGCAGAGGGCAAAACACCATAGGAAGAAGAAGTGCTCTGCAATCCGCGGCCTGGCGTGCAACTCTGGGCCGTCAGGATGTATTCCCGGAAGCCCTTGTCACCAGCCTCGGTTCTGCCCTCTGCATTCCTAAGCTACGGAAACAGTCAAGCTGTGTCTCGAGCGTCGCCAGCAAAGGCATCATCCCGACTGCCTCCGGGGATTCAGGCATGACACGAACATTGCTAGTACCTAGAGCTGAGGGGCTACTCATCATGAAGACGGCACAGTCAGGCAGCTCCTCCTCCTGACCGGGAGTCATCTGGCAGGCCATCCACGTGGATGCCGATCTTGTGCTCGCCTACCGTCTCCAGCTTTTATTGCTGAGGCATCTTTTCATATGATCTTCTGCAGCTTTGCTGCAGAACTTTGGCTCCGTCGCCGTGAAGGTCCCCACGATCTTCACTTTGTCTTGAGGAGCCAAGGAACCTGTGCTCACTGGACCGGGCGGCGTTCTACCAACAATGCCAAAGAAAAGAGCACTCTGACTACAATAGTAAAATTGGTAGTAATAACAATAACAAAAATAAAACCCCCCATAATTACAATACGCAATACAATAATCTGTAGATCTCTGAAAACGTCGTCGGCCTTCTGCGGGGACGATCTTGAAGTCTCCCACCAAAAGCTCCCCCTTCTCCTGGGTTGACAGGGGCAGGTTCCCTATCGCCATATCGATCGGGTCTCATCGTCTGGGTCTGCAGCCGGTTTCTTCATGTCCTCCGTGCCAATCTTCATGTTCGTGGCATCAAAGATGAACCAATCGAACCTCGGGGATGAAGGCAGGCTATTGAACAGATGACTCGCTGCAAGATCTTCCTTCTGCCCTAATTTTAGAGAGGAGCTTGAAGGGGCCGTCATTGTAGATCTCAAACTCCCGGGTGTTCGATTCCCCGATCCTGGGGGCAAGCGCGTCCAGGGCTGCAAAAAGCCTCTGGATTGCTGTGGCTAACTGCGTCTGCGTCCGGAGCACTTCACAGGACCGAAGCTCAAACCTCGAGGTGGCGCGAGGTTGAAGGAGTTGTGCACCTGACGCATCCCACAAGTTCTCCCATCTGCAATTTGCCGTTCACAGCTCTGCCAAGCGACTGCCCGCAGGGTCAGCGGGATGAGAGGTGTCTCCAGTTGCACACGCTCACCTGTCCAAGAACCCCTTTTGAGCAAGTGTGGATACAAAAAAAACCGTGCCTGTCTTGGCTTCGTAGACCAACAATTCCAGCTCCTGCGATTCTCCCGAGTTATTCTTGGCTCTGGAGGCTTCGAAAAAAAAAAGCAATGTTCTCCTCGTTTTTGCCCGTCCGGGCAAACCGCTTCGGTTCCGGGCACTGCATTGCCACCGGTGCGACCACCGACACCTCGCGAGAAGAGACACTGGTGCAAGCAAACCGCAAGGTGGCAGGGCCTTGATGGCTTGTTTCTGTCCGGGCTGCAGCTCTGGGAACTTGCCCTCCTCGCACGCGGCGTGTTTCTTCAGAGACAGGACTGCTATCAGCATCTACATGTATCAGGTTTCCGTTCAGATATGGCACTCCGAACAGCGTAAACACCGGCAATCCTCCGGAGGAGTGCCATAGTCAATCTTCATGATGTCTTGGATGGCTCTGCGCCGGATCTTAATATCAAAGTTTACCGGGTACTTGCCGTTGTTCGCCACATTGAATGTCTGCTCCATAGTTGCCCCAACACGCACATCCCCGAAGTCCAGACCCACACCGTTGTTGGGAAATTCAGGCACCACGTCCACGACGAAGGCCTCTGCCATTACCTGGATCTCAGCTGCGTTCTCAAATTTTCGCAGACCTTCCGTGTCTGAGATCTGCAGGGAGAGGCCGAACTTGTGCGAGCACGCGGTGTCAGACCGGAAAACCACCACCACGTGCTTCTCCTCTGCCACCGCCAGGATTCCTAGGAAGCAGGCATCATCACAGCGATACAATGGATACAACAGCAGCCAGAAGCCGAGGCCGCCAAGGCCCCAACCCTCCATGGGCTCGATCTCGAAGGCTTCAGGGACGGCGTTGGCCGCCTCCCACACGCTCCGATGTCCCGAAAGCCCGAAAGACCTCTCTAACTCTCGCCTCCAAGCGCCACTTCACGGGCACGGCGGAGACGTTGGCCACCTCAAACCGACAGAGCTTGCTTCATGCCCCCCGGCAGATCGCCCCTCCCCGGCCCCTGCCCCCCACCTTTATCCCGTTAGACATGCGCTGCTTGACGAGGATGCGGTCGAAGTCCAACTCCGTGGTGTCCAAAGTCACCTGGCGACCCACTGTGACGCCCATGGCGCAAGTCAGCTGCTCTGGTGGGGGACGGAAGACACTCAGGCGGATCAAGAACAGACACCCGTGAACCTCAGCACGAAAAGTCACTCCGGTCTTAAATTTGCCGGCCTTGGGGAGGGATCCGATGGCGGCGATGGCAAATTCCACGGGATCCGGGTTGTCCGTGATCTTGGCGATGATGGTGTCCGTGTATGTCCCCTCCTTGACCTGCGAGGTGCCACGAACTCTTGGCTGATTATACAGGGACTCGCGGTTGTCTCGGAAGTCTTAGGACTCAAGGGCACTTCATGTCTGAGGCCCGGGCAGGGAAACAGGAGACCTTCAGTTCCTTGGTCTCCCCGACCTCCAACTCCAGCTCCGAGGGCTCGACCAAGAAAGGGTACTCCTCACCAATTCACTGAAGGCCGAGCTGGGGGCCTTGGGGTTTCGAGGTTCGGGACTCACCGCGTTCGAGCTTGGCTCGGTTTTGGCACTCCACGTTCTTTGGTGGATGAGCAGGTCTACAGACCCCAGGAGAAACCACCCACAGCGTTCCACACTGCCTGGGCCTAAACGATACCGACATCATGCGAAATGGCATGCCAAACCTTACCCACTTCGACCTAGCTACATCCGCTGCCCCGGAGCTGAAGAGCTCTGGATTCTCCGTCTGCGTATCTTTGGATTCTGAACTCTTCCCTGCAGGCTCCTCGAAGGCTGTGGGCGCCGGCTCCCCTTTCTTCCCTCCTGCAGCGAGCTCAAAGCTTCAACAGCTTCAACCGCCTCCGTGCCTGTCTATGCCTCGATGCCTGCCTCAAGCAGGCAATCACAGCCCCAAGCATGTTAAGAACAGATCAGAACTCTTACCCTCTCCTATCCAGGGAACCTGAAGAGTGCTGCTACCGATGTTACCACAGCCGGGAGTCCAGGAGTCTTCTTTCCAGGGTCTTCAGCCGGGGGCGCTTGTGCCGAGGCCAGAGCGAAAGCCACGTCTGCCTGGCCGGGCTGCTCAATTCCCCCCACCTTGCATGTTTTTTTTGCTTTCATACAAACACATGCTTGGGTCATGTCATGTCTGTGTCTACCGAAACACCTCAAAGGCCCACGGCCGACGTCCCTACCAGGTCTAAACCCTCTGCGGCTCTGGCCTTGAACAGGGAGTTGTTGGTGATGCGGAAGTTCTCTACATGCTGCTTCACGTGTGGATCTGACCTTGGCATGCGTTGGAGGCGCCAGGGCACCTCTAGAGCATTCAGTCAGATATACGTGTGCATATAGTAGACAGTCTTGAGTAGACATCATCATGCAATCTCACGCGCATTCATCTTTGGAGCCTTGCAGGCATGCCTGGGAGCCTGGGCCTGTGCAGCGCTTCCAAGCCAACACGTCGGCGTTTCACGACCCCCTACAAGCCGAAAGTGACTGCAGATTTGAATCATAGTCCTGGCCGAGGTGCGCAGCATCTGCCCGCGAATCTGCGCTGCGGCCGATGAGGAGTGGCCCAAACTCGAAAACGCCTCGGGAAGAAACGACGAGGCGGCCGTGGGCCGGTGTTGGAGATTGAAATTGCCGGGGAGCCGGTTGAGAGTATGAATTGTTTCGAAGCATATCCACTTGCTGGCTTCATCTTCGCCCGCCGTGTGAAGACATTGCGCGGGTCACTGCTGATGCCTGTTGCCAACGCGACGAAGAGAAGCCCTCTCTACCCGGCCCCGGCAAACGCGACTAAAACCCGCCTGGGAAGGCTGTGATCCCTGAAGCTGCAATCGAGACCGGCGCGTTGTTGTTGATTCCTGTGATTGGCAGGCATGGCAAAGTCAGTGCCCAGGAGAACCGGCAGACAGACGCCTCCAACCACCTCGAAGCAAAGCGCAGCCTGGTACGTTCCAATGTCCTGCCACACACAGAGACACAAGGAGAGAGAGAGAGAGAGAGATAGAGATAGAGATAGAGATAGAGATAGAGATAGAGATAGAGATAGAGATAGAGATAGAGATAGAGATAGAGATAGAGATAGAGATAGAGAGAGAGATAGAGATA